TGTTGTCTCGGGTTTTGCTCCGTTTGAGATGGGAGTTTACCCGAGTCCTTCGTTTCAAGTCGGTTCACGGCATTCGCAATTTGACTCACTTGGCTTTCCAAATTCTGAATGCTAGATTTGGTCTCATGCTGAAATTGAACCATGTTTTGTTGCATGGTTGAGACATTTGAGGTGAGTGCTCGGATCATGTCTTCGGTGGACATACTTGAGCTTAAAGTTTGACCTTGATGATTTGGGAAAGATTGTTGTAAGGGCTGACTTTGTTGTGGTTGAGGGTTCCCATATCTCAAATTCGGGTGATCTCTCCACCCGGGATTGTAGGAGTTAAAGTGCGGATCATACCTCTTTTGGCCTTGGAACCCCAAAGCATTGACTTGCTCGGAGTTCTCTTCTTGTAGCGTTGGGCAGGAATCAGTGGGGTGCCCCTGTGTTGAACATATGCCGCAGACCTTGACTTCTTGGTGTTTTGGATTTAAAAGGAAATCTTTTACCAAATAAGTCAAGCCGGCCACTTGACTTTCCAACGAGTTGTTGGATTCCGCTGCCATGACTCGTTTTGATGATGACCTCCCATTGTAGTGTCTAGAATTCTTGGCCAACTCCGAGATGAGATTCCTAGCTTGGGAAGGGGTTTTGTTGACAATTCGCCCTCCAGATGCTGCATTTACCAAGCGTCTATCTTCATTGCAAAGACCATCATAGAAGTATAAGATGAGGTCTTGCTCCGAATAGCCGTGGTATGGACAGCTTGCACAAAGTTTCTTGAATCGTTCCCAATATTCGTAGAACGATTCATCATCCTTTTGCTCCACATTGATAATCTGCTTTTTTAGAGATGAGGAGACAGAGGCAGGGTAATACCTTTCGAGGAAAGCTTTCTTCATGGCCGCCCATGTACCTATACTTCCCGAGGGAAGATAGAATAGCCAATCCTTCGCGGTGTCTTTGAGGGAGAATGGAAAAGCCGTCAATTTGATTTGTTCTTCCGAGACACCATTGGGACACATGCTTGTGCACACAATATGGAACTCTGAAAGGTGTTTGTTCGGATCTTCTCCTCTCAGGCCATGGAAGGATGGCAGCAGATGAACGAGCCCAGATTTTAGCTCAAACGTATTACCCTCATCAAGTGTAGGGAAGGTAATACACAGTGGTTGCTGATTTAAGTTTGGAGCTGTGAGCTCCCTCAGTGTTCTTGTTTCAAGAGCCATGTGGAAGGACTCTTCGGATTCGCTAGAACTAGAGCTAGAGGTGTATGAATCTCTGGTAGATGATTCTTCCGAGTCGGTATTAGAAAATTTACTTTTCAACCGCTCGAAAGTTTGTTCTATTTCGGGGTTAGTTTGATAGGTGATTTCGTTCAGTGAACGATATTTAACCATATACTTCAAAGCTCAGAAATAGAAAACTAAGAACTCTTTACGTTTTTATTTAATATGTTTTTTTTTATAATTGAAATGAAATAAAAGAAAAATTCATTGCCTTTCCCCGGCAATGGAGCCAAATTTGACGTGCCCTTGTCGTGAGGTGCACTCAAAATAATTACAATACAATGATTATACATAGTACAACGAAGTAAGGTTCGTATCCACAGGGAAAGGAATACTTTTCTTCTATATAAGTAGTAACAAGGGGGGGTTTAGATTTGTTTGATTTTAAAAATACTAAGATGAACAACCTATATGAGTTTAATTAATGGAAATGGAGGCTTGATTTTGCTTTTATCCACTTAATGAAATGTTCGTCGATCCCGGTTATATCTTTAACTGTCTTCCTCTCGAATACTCAATCGAGGAGTATATCTAGTTCATCGAGGGTAGTTATTAATAACGAGATGCGTTCATTAATAAAACTTACTATCGAGTCAATATAGAACAAGCACCGTATATTAACTTGATAGTAGCAATAAACTTAAGATGAAAACGATTGAGATTGATAACCTCAAAACAAGCGGTTTATTGGTTTAATCAGTATAATTAATTCCCCTTGGCATATTAACCATGAGATGCATGCATTAATAATCCAAATTTACTACCGTTGAAAGAACCGGATTAATAACAAGCGTATTAACCGATTGATTCTAGTAATAATTAATATGAGAAACAAAACTAGTTGATACTTTAAGTAATGTTTAAAATATTAACAGGAAATATGAATTAGAATTAATTAATACTCAAGGAAGAATATTAAAGATTATGAATCCTACTATGATTAATATCAAGATGTTAACTAATTGTCATCTTAGTAATACTCCCCAATATTAACATAGAGGAAGAAATAACTATTACTATAACCAATGTCAAGATGTTAACTAATTGTCATCTTAGTAACACTCCCTAACTTTGATATAGAAATAGTATTTTAAAGGAAGAATTAATATTCAAGGAAGAAGATTAAAGAAAATAACTCACAACTTACAAATTCATTAAGCTTCAAAGTAGCAAAACCAAGATGGAAGAGTTTAGCTCCTCATTTGGAGACTAAACATGATGAAAAATATAAAGAAAGAACTATTCTATACTGAGCTTAGATGTAAAAAGGAATTGGATATTCAATTGTGAAGGAAAAGGGGTGTATTTATAGGATTTTGGGATGGGATTCGGGTACTCGATCGGGTATATACATGGTACCCGATCGAGTATGTGTGTAATGCCAGATTCGAGGTATACTCGATCGATTTTAGGCTATGTTCCAAAGGTATACCTGATCGGGTATATGTTTATACTCGGCCGAGTATGTGTAGAAAGTGATATTCGAGCCATACTCGACCGATTTTGCGTTTAAACTCAAAGGCATACTCGATCGGGTATGTCGGTCTACCCGATCGGGTATAGACACTCAATCGTGGCCGAAATCTTCCCGGCATGTTCCCTTGTCTCCGGATCTGATCCGATTTGAAGTTTCAACCTAATACCCGATCGAGTATAGGTGATACTCGACCGAGTATAGACCAAAATTTCAGGATCCTTCTTTTGTCTTCAAATTATGCACCTTCCTTCCACTTTTTAGGGTTCACAACCTGTCCTTTGAGTGATCAAGACCTGTTTGAGCTCAGAATATATTTAATCTAAACTATTTACAAGAATTTAACAAACTAAACTATTACACCAAAAGTGTGTAATTTCCAAAGTAAAAGTCAAGCAAAACTAATTAAAAACACAAACATACATATGGAAATTACAAACGTATCAGGTTTCCAACCAAGAAGTACTCAAACGAAATCGGAAATTGCAGAAGAGTTTTCATGAAGAAGGATAATCGTTTATATAGCCTAATAATCAAGGCTTGGAAACCACCCCAAAACCGCAATGATGGCACTCAAGTGCTGAAGATGGTGGGGTGGATTGGAAGTTGTGTCGGGCTGCAGGCCTATGTTCAGTCGCGCGCATTTAATACGCGCGGCGCTATAGTTTTTCAAAAGATTCGGAATTTAAATTACCCGCCTTGATTACTCTCCTAAAATCCAGCCCGACTGATTTGAGAGAGTAGGGGGCTCATGATGGTACCGTGGACTCCAACCATGGCCCAATTACGGAATTATAAATAAAGCCCATAACGGGATCAAGCCCTCAACGGGATCAACCCTCAGCGGGATTAACCCATACATGATTAGCCCTTAACGGGGTCAGCCTACGAACGAGATTAATATTAATGAGCTTCTGGGCCTAATTAGGAATCAGACCCACGAGAGGAACCCACAACCAGGCCAGGCTGGACAGCAGACCTCGAGCCTGGGCGGAGTTCTAGTGAGGTCGAGGTATTCCTAGGGCTTACGTGACAGGCTATCATTCGTGCATAGCTATCATTCATTGCCCAACGTCCAAGACGTTACAAGAGTCTAATTCGATTGAACATGTTATTAATAGCATTAACTGTATCGGTTTCCTCCTAGAACACTAGTTCCTCTAGTCTAAAAATACTTCATGTACTCATCCTAGCAAGGGACTGATTTCCGGAATAAAGAATATTGTCTTACCTACACTGCCATATTTGCATCTGCTCTCGTAGATATAGCTCTCATAGTTGAATTAAACTCCATCAACTGATTACGATACCCCTGGGGTATATAAGAATATACTCCATCAATATATAAACCCTGTATGAAACCACCTAATTCAGTGGGGCAAATGTCGGGGAACATTTACCGGGTATTATGGCCAAAACAAAAAAGTACAGAACGAGAGGAGGACTAGACCAAAACCTCTCGAGAAAGGGCATACCCTTTTCAAAAACATGATTAAATAACGATCTAAGGAGCCGTTTACTTACTTGTTTAATAAATGGTGAATATTTAACCGTGTCTTACTAAGCATTGCTTACTAAGAAGCGTTTATTATCCTGATGTTTACTTCATACAGATCCTGAGCTTAAATAAGACGTCTTATATCTACAATGACAAAAATAACCTTAAAACTCCTTCATATAATATCGTTGCTCCATTGTTCTTATCTCCATCATTGCCGCAAGTGTTCACCATCTCCAGCCCTCCAGGTACTTTCTTATTCGATTTTTTGGTCCTCAATTAAGATCTATATAGTTAAAATAGGAATTTGTTCAGCCCGATTAAACAAGCAACCTCTATTCGAAGAAGGAATCTCTTCCCTCTATTCGAAATTACACACACACATATATGAGTATATAAATATATAACTATTTGACTACTTGTTTGCCTATCACGATCGATCTGTTTGCTATGTGGTGCTCAACAATCTAATTTCTCCATTTTAATTGCAGACATGGCTATTTTCAATGCCCGAGAAAGATCGGTGGTTTGGGGATGGTGTTCTGCGCATATGAGAAATGTCAGTGCTCAAGATTAGATGTGGTTTTGATGTAAATAAAAATCTGATATTGTAAAATGCAGGGACACATCGGTCAATAAAAACAACCTAACTCAACGATTAAATTATACATGGGGGCGTCGCTTTAGTAATCGGTGCTTACGGAGGCCTTTCCGCTTACTAGCCATGTAATTAGCCGTAAAAAAGTTTACTTCATATGCCTTAGTAAGCTAGTAGTACATTAAATGTCAAAGTAAACAGGTCCTAAATGTAAACATACGGGGTTGACACCGAGTCCAAATGAGTAGCATCCCAAAGTGTACAAGGCATGGGATCTCCAGAAGCCCAACTTCACAACCACCATAGCAGATTTGTTTGCTGGGGCTGGGGTTAACAAAATATTTTGTGATAAATCCAGTCAACTTAACAATCAAACAATCATAACAGGTATAAAGAAGCAGATAGAAAGATATCAAGATTAACAACACCTTTGGTATACCGTGATGAACGCCGCTGCTCTCCCTCGAGAGAGAGAGAGAGAGCAGCGGAAAACCTAATCTCTCTATCTCTGCGCCTCTATTCTCTAAAGCCTCAATCGTTGTTTGGGTTCCCGTAAGTTAGCCTCCTTTTATAGGAGAAGTTGGCTAACTTACGGGTTACAAAGAAGCTAACGGGCTGATACACATTTGTGGCCTGTATTACACGTTTAATTAATAACTACACAAATACAAAGATATTTAATTAGATTGGACACCATAAAATATTCCTAACAATCTTCCCCTTGGTGTTCAATCGTGTTGAATCAGCATTGCAACACGAATATCTTTGTCTTTATTGTTATTGAGCTTCCTTTGTCTTTGAACTTGACTTCTTAAGAAGGCTTTATGAGGAAATCCTCGCAATCTCCCCTTTGATGTTTTCTTGGCAGTTTGATCTTTGATGCCGGGGTTTGAGGAATCTTTTTCTTGTAATCCTTGCCTTCCAGAAGTTGCTCTTGATCAGCTTGGATGAAGTCTGGTGACGCCTCTAGAATGAATGTTCTGATGATTATCAGGGGCGCACGAGATTCGTCTTTAGTACACAAGTATTTGACCTCTGTCTCCTCCACAATGTAGTCTTTTTGACTATTTGTAATGAATGCATTTGAGGAGAACTTGTCGATGGCACAACGGAACATAATGATGGTTGACTTGTGAGCGTAGCTGACCATTTGAGTTACGGAGATAGTAGAGAGAGTGTTGGAGGAGAGAAGTGTCCCAGAGTGATTTTTTGACAGTTAACAGCATGTGGACCACTCTCTCCCTCATGATGATCCGATGACTCGGGGCGTCATGCCTTTATTCTTTTATTCTGCGGAAATAAAACAGGAAAAACAAGCAAAATGGTAAAATGATAATGTAGCCCCCCGGGGTCGTGTAGACACCTGTTTTCATCACTATAGAGGTAAACTCTAAAGCGATATCCTGAAAATGATAGTGATTCTTATGTTGCAACAGCAGGACTTCCTTCCAATTATTGGTCTACATCTGTAAAAGATGAGCCCTATGGAAGTTCTCGCAGGTCATGAAAACCTGCAACTGACTCTAAAAGTGTGTCTGTGTCCTAGAAAATTTCAAAACATTTGGGAGTGTGTAACTAGACACGACGTGATCAATGAAAGTTCAATGGCGTGGGGTTGAGGCCACTGTAGTCAGTATCACTTGCCTCGGAAGGAGACAGTAATGAGAGATGCGGTTCCCCATGAAATATGATTAAGCACCTATGTGTTGGGAGACAAATGAGTGGTCTTGGGTAGGGTTCAATCATGCACTATTGGACAAGATGTAGTGACTTCTACCCGGGATCTGATTAAATCAGTCCTGAACCTATGGGGACTGTCCAGAGTATTTGAGTGGCTAGGAGTAAATGTTCAATGGATAGTAGGCAGTTGAGGTAGCAGACTTATCATTGATTATTGTTACCTTGCTCACTTGAGCCTTCTGCTTCCTAATGCTCATAAAGTTCACTCACTCACTCACTCACTCACTCACTTATGCTCGGCTTTGTCCCTTGGGTAGGCTTAGTTGGGTTTACTAAGCCATAGGGACATGTTCTCTCATTACTTTCTTCATTTTCTCTCTGTACTCCCCCTCAACTAGAGCACTCGGTATGCTTTGTCATTGTTAGGCATAGGGGAGGATAATATTGAACACCCCCCCTAAAATGTTGCATCCGTTGAGAGATTCTTTGCTTTGTCGGTGTAAGGCGCCAGGAAGAGAAAATGAAACTCCCCCTCATAATGTGCAAGGTTTGATTGCTCACAGATCGTTATACCCACCATGTGTGTGGAGCAATCTGAACAAGTACCACACATGACGGTTTCCCTAAACTCATCATTTGGAATTTAAGCATGTTTGAGGATCACACAATGTTGATGAGTTAGGGGAGGCTTCAGTAGTTGATTGTTGTAAGATGACCGTTGACGCGAGGTTGATTGAATTATCTACGATTTTCGGACCTCTACAGTGCAGCTTAGACCTTATTTGACCATTGGTTTGACTTTGAAAGAATTTGATCAGATTTTCCTCAGTTTTGACCTGGACATCAGTGATTTACAAAGTTTGTCGGAAAACTAACGTTTTGACCCTCAAGGACCGCGTGTGAGGGCGCGTGAGAATGTGTTTTGGCGCATATCCGGAGAATAAATGTAGATCGTTTCGTTAGCTTTCCAACAAAAAAAGTTTGCTTAAAACGGATCACCGAGTCAAAAGTTATGGCCAAAACAGTGCGATGTCGCAGAAAATCTCTAATTTTGAGTTTTTGAGGAATTTCTTCGAAGTTGAGGTTCTCGATGTTGAATATCGAGAGCAGGTGGAGTTTAACCAAAATTCTAAGGCAAAACCTCGAAATCGTAAACTCGAGGTTTAAATATCGAGATTACAATCTCGAGGTTTAAAACTCGAGATAACAATCTCGAGGTTTAAATCTCGAGATTACAATCTCGAGGTTTAAAACTCGAGATTACAATCTCGAGGTTTAAATCTCGAGATTACAATGTCGAGGTTTAAACTTCGAGATTACAATCTCGAGGTTTAAAACTCGAGATTATAATCATGAGTTTGCCTCGAAGAATAATGGCGAAATCCACCTGCAAAACAAACCTCGGAATATCGAAAACTTCATAATTTCAAAATGTTTGGAACATCGAAAACTTTGGAGTTTCGAAAACCTCAGAAAATCGAAAACTTGCTGTTTGAAAAACATCAGAACATCAAAAACTTCTAAAAACTTTGATAAACATAGATTCATTCAGAAATCCTATAATGGAAAGCTTTGATGAACTACGAAGAATGTCAAGTTTTGAAAAATTCTGAATTCCAAGAAACTGCAAACTTTGAAACATTCAAAACATAAAAAATTTTAAAAATCTCGAAATCTTCAGAATGTCGAGATCCTAAACATCGAGATTCTAAATGTCGAAATCCCAAAACTCGAAATTCCAAAACTCGAAGTTTCAAAACTCGAAATTTCTAAACTCGAAATTTCAAAATTCGAAATTTCAAAACTCGAAATTTCAAAACTCGATATTTCAAAACTTGAAATTTCAAAACTCGAGATTTCAAAACTCGAAATTTCAAAACTCGAGATTTCAAAACTTGAAATTTCAAAACTCGAGATTTCAAAACTGAAATTTCAAAACTCGAGATTTCAAAACTCGAAATTTCATAACTCGAAGTTTCAAAACTTGAGATTTCAAAACTCGAGATTAGGAATTCGAGGCCCTAAATGTCGAGATCCTGCAAAATAAAAACTTCTAGTTTTGAAAATCTGAAAACTGTTCTGAATAGCCCCGAAGGTAGAGATTCTCTTGTATCAGTTTCAGGTCAAAATCGTTTCTGCAGCCATGTAAAAACAGAAACTCGAGATCCTAATGTAGAGATCTTTGAGATTGAAAAATTGCAGAAATCGAAAACAGAGATATACTGTAGAATCCATTTTGAAAGGCGATTCCAACTGATGGAGTATATGGCCCGGGAACACCCGGCCCACAGACTCCTACTACTCCTTTTGAGGCCCAACAGGCCCAGAAGGCCCAACAGGCCCAAATCACAGCGCCCAGAGTACCAAGCAGCCCGCACTACGCGCCAGGGGTGCCTTCGGCCCCCTGGCCGAAGGCTCTAAACTCTCACAGAACGGGGTTCTCAAGCAAACTAAGAAACTGGGAGAAAACGGCAAAAACAGTAGCCCTCGGCACCAGGAGCCCTCGGCACCAGGGTGCCATCGGTTTGAGGAGCCCTCGGCTGCTGCTCTATAGCCGAGGGCACCTCTCCCGACATGATATCCGCCTCACATGCGTACAGATCACCGTACCCTGTACAGACGTCCCATCCAACAGCCGCATTAAATGCGGCCACATGCGGCTGCCAATGCCAACCAGTTGAGGTGACCTCTCGGCCAATGGGCGCTTGACACGTGTCCCTGTCCGGCATTTATTGCTACTATAAATAGCACCCCATTTCCCCATTTGTAACCACGACATTATACTGAATACACTCTCTCTCTTACTCATTTGTGCTCTGACTTCTCTCTAAGTTATTCTCAGCAATAACCCCTCGGATATATACCCCCGGGTAGACTATCCATCATTTGGTGCTCTCGTTGAGAGGTCGAACAAATCGAGTAAGAAACCCTCCCCCTTCGCCAAACACTAGCCCTCTACCAAAAATGGTGAGAACAACACGTGCCAACTCCAAAAACGTGGAAGACAATAACCTGGCCCTCAGCGACGTCAACGCCCCCGAAGCCTCTCACAGGGCTCCCGAGGGCGGTGTCATCGCTGGGCTGGAATAGGCGGCTGTCGACCTACGCCTTCAGATCCAACAGAATGCCCCCGATGCCCGCCTCGGCATCGAGGCCAAGAAGAAAAACCGGAGCGATGACCAAGTCAGCCCTCCGGTTCTCACCATCGACGTGCAATCGGCGCTCTCCGCCTTCATCCAAACGCTCACTCAGAACCCGGGTGCCTTCGGCACCCTAGCTTCGGCTCAACCCCAGGTTGGGGAGAACATCATACTTCCCCCTCTGCCACACCCCTTCGGAAACCCCACCCCTCGGGTGAGGAACGACGAAGGGGTAGCGGCCCAAGATACGTCCTCCCAGGAAGTTCAGTCCCGGGACCGCCACAATGAGAACAGAGAAAGGCCCCGCACTTCCGCCCTCAACCGGCTCGGAGGAGGGCCAGACCGCCGAGGGGTCCAAGACCGCCTCAGAGGGAAAGCACTCCAAAGGCCCCAGGAAAGCGGAGGGTCTGTCTCGAGGGCAGACGAGGAGCATCCCCCTCGGGACAAAGGCAAGGCACCCCTTCATGCCAATGATGCTCGCCACCAGATCAACCAGGCCCACTCGGCCCGGGTTCGTTCGCAGGGGGCGGAGACCCTCCTGAAGGATCCCCGGGACGAGATTATTGCGGCCCTCCGACGCCGGCTTGACGAAATGGAGTCCAACAAAGCTCACGCCACCACCTCCACCCCTCACTCAGATCTCAAATACGAGGCCATGATGGCCAAGATGGAGGAATTACAGAAAAAGGTGGTCGAGGGCTCCGGGGAACCCGTCATCCAGCTCCGGACCCGGACGCCATTTACCCCAAGGGTACTGGCGGCCCGGATCCCGGAAAAATACCGAGGGCAACACATACAACCCTATAACGGGAAGACGGACCCCCAGGAACACTACAACAAATATCAAAACAGCATGATGATGGTAGGGGCGTCGGACGAATTTTTGTGTCGTTGGTTCCTCTCCACCTTAGAGGGGCCGGCATACGAATGGTTCAACCGGTTGCCCGAGGGCTGCATTGATTCGTGGCAAGAACTCGCCCAACGATTCTTGACACAATTTGCCGGGAGGCGTCGCACAAGGAAGCACTTCTCCCACCTCCTAACCATATGCCAGAAGAGGGATGAGACCCTTCGAGACTTCCTGGAGCGCTGGAGGACGGAGGCCGACAAAGTCGACGGTGCCGATGACGGGACCCTCCTGGCCCTCCTACAAACCGTCCTCCGCACCGGCAACTTTTCAAGGAGCCTCATCATTGAACCCCCCCGCGACTACATAAGGGCTTTGCAGCGGGGGGACCGATATGCTGAGGCCGAGGAGGTGGATAAATATCACCAGCATCCGGATCAGCAGCCCCCGAGGGCTGACAACAAAAATAACCGGGGGCCGGGGGCTCCTCCAAATCATCCCAAGGCTTCAGGACCCTCTGATGACCGCCCTCGGCAAGGCCAAGCCAAGCCCGGGGGAGGCTATAAGGGAAGCCCTAAGACTTGAGCACAGCCCATTCTCCTGGACCGCCCTCGGACACCATTGACGCACCCCGTCAGCATCATCCTTGATTTTGCCGAGGAGAGGGGCCTCGTTGAGCGCGATTCCCGCGCACCCCCGGAGGTACATGCTATTAACCCTCAGTTCCCATAC